ATACACACAGACTATGGTGAGTATTTCATCCTTTTAATTAAGAAAACTTATAGATGTACAGTATAGAGACTAACCTAGACTATTATGATTTATGCTTCTAGTATCTTAAGCTGCAATATTATTAAAGAGACTAAAGTTTTAAACAACTGCAAAAGCAGTTGTAGGAATGACAGAAGCAGCTACAATAAACAATAGCAAATGCAATACTATATGTTTGTATATATAATTAACAAACTCAAGCTGTTTACAGACAACAGAAGCAGCCACAGGGTCCAGTTTACAGAATGGTGACCAGTATTCATTATAACAATACTCTAATGTTAAGATAGTAACTACCATATAAAGCATAATTATGTTTTTGTAGGAGTGTCTTAAGCCCAACATACGCTATGCAACATTTGTTGCCAATAATTTGTTGCATGCAACACAGTTTATACAGGAGTCAATGGAGGTTGCAACACATGCATGAAATAGAACTATTCCTTATTTCATGCAACATGTTACGATTCCTGTATAAACTGTGTTACATGCAACAAGTTGCAACATTTTTTTGCAACAAATGTTGCATAGTGTATGTTGGGCTTTAAGCTTTTATCTAATTAAATTTTTTGGGCAAATTACTACTCAAAATATTCTACTATTTGTGTACAGTATATTGTAATGATTGAACTTTTTTAGATAAGTGTTTTCCTAGCAATGAGGAATTTATAAAAGTTAGATTAGAAGAAGGTACATTAGACTGTACACATACCATGATAAATGACACATTGTACATTAATATGTTTAGATGGTTCAAGTAGCAGAGCTACCTCATCTACTGATTCAACTTTACCTACTGGGCCAGGTACGTACATATGCATATGCTTTATTATGGTTTTGGAGAATCAATCTTTTGTATTTAGTTTAAATTCATTAGTTGTGTCTTTCTTTATTAGTTGAGATTCCAATTCGTAAAAGTATGAGTGAAGACTTCTCATCAATAAGAATATCTCATGGTAGAATGATGTATAATGCTCGTAAAGCTATCAGAAATCATCAAGTCGATTTTGATGAGCTAATAGACTTCACCATAAGCTGTAGCAGTGATATTGAAGAGAAGCTTGACAAATCCTCTGATGTAGCTAGTGTCCTCCGTGTGATTGAGAAAAATGAATGCTCATTGATTGATACGAGTCTTATTTCTGCAGTTGTTGAGGAGTTCAGAGTTACTGAAGCTGAGAGATACATTGAAGAGTATAAGGAGAAATTGAGAGAATTCTGTCGGTCTATATCTGTCACTCTCTGCTTGAAGGAGAAGTTTGAAGCTAATCCTTCACTTCAATGTGAAACAGCTACCTATGTATTTGACTGGAGGCCTGATGAGAAGAAATTGAACGATATCACTGATATTCTTTCCAAGACATCTGGTA